TGTTATGTAAACATATTTATACCTTGCATATGCATATTTAGACCACATACATGGCAATGAAAATGTTTTATGAGATGATCACTTTTGATCTTATTTTATTGATCAGACTTGGACACACACGAAAGAGGAGAGAGAGAGAGACTAGTACCACGATCTACCTACAGCCTACATGTGTTAAGCATTTCAGTTGGATAATATATATATATATATACCAAAAATCGATAACATACAGCAGTTTTAATAAAACTAAAGTTATTTCCAGATCTTGCGTTATCTGCATACGTATATATTGAACAAGCAGCCTGATTGCACATTAACACTGAGAATGAAAAAGAATAGGATAGGGACGCCAATGCTCTCAGTTAGTCTGCAATCATCGTCAATAAAATAGTGGACGTCGTTTTACATAAGTCAGTTCTGATTGGTTTATTTCCACACTGGACATTGGTTACTATAACACTTCTCCCTTTGGAAAAGATGTATTGCTCGGGTGAGCCATAGGACTACACCGTCTGTTTCCTGCAACTGGATGACAGTTGTCGAGCGAGTGGTCTATTGTGTCCTGGAATGTCTGAAGAATTTGTGACTTCCACATCATCAGAGTGTGTGACGCTGTTGCGCGCTTGAGAACAACATGTTGTTTGAGATGGGAGAATATCGGATCAGTCGCCGAAAGTTGTTGTGTTTCTCAATACTCTGAATGACTACGCCGACAACATTTTACCACTGCTGGGCTACCTATTTCCCCATCTCCAACTACTCAAACGCAAATACGCAACGAAGTGGGCCCAAAATTCTATTTCAGTATCCGCCATAGCATATACACACACCATTATATCGCCAAAGATATGTCAATTAGTCTATAATCATGATCAGCAAAATAGTGGGCGTTACTTTAAGTATGATAATTCTAACTGATTTATTTCCAGGCTGGACGCCTATCACCATATTAATAATGCGAATTGCCAGAAGTTAAAATTTGTGAGCCACAGGATGCCATGAACGTGGTTGAATGGTCTCTAAGGATCCATTCACCTTGTGAACGGAAGACTCTAGGTGATTCATGGATGTGTATTGATGGAGAGCCAATCCCGACATAAGGAGACTAACCTGGTAATCGTTCCCTACTGTTTGCTGATGTTAGTGGTTTTCAACGGTTCTCTAACTGATACGCTGTAGTCAGTAAATGATCAAATCTTTGATATTTTGTAAACCTTTACTGGTTAAATTGGTGACAGGGACGCTCTGGAATTAGTAAGTAACAGGTGTAGTGATCAAAAGTAACGCTGGCTTGTCAGCAGCCCCAGTGTTGTACATATACAATGGCTATTTGAATTCCCACCCCACTGTACTAGACTGAGAACTCACAATGATGAGGGGAATCAGAAAACAGACTAATTTCCACAGGAAATCAATCATATATATGTATATATATATTCCTAGTTGACATCGTTCCAGCTACAAGCGACAACACTGATGAGGACATCAATACCAACCAGCATAAGAATCTGAAGATAGACTTTTACCACTGGGAAACTAGTTTGTAGATCTCGACTACTCCTCAGCAGATAATACAAAATTTGGAATCTGTTCAAAACCAATGTTAAGTCAGTCATTCAGTGTTATTATTTATGGTTTAGGAACATTCAGAGTGTCTCACGAAAAGTATTTCGAACAGGCTACTCCAGACTGTCATCAACAGCCGGCTTCACTGGTTCCACTCTAAAGATCACGTGGCTAGCCAGAAAGAATTGGTGGGAAAATAAATCTGCCATCCAGCGAACCAACCAAGAACCTATTGCCTATCCAACAAATATGCAGAAATAAGTGGAGATGGGTCGGACAAACACTGAAGAGACCGTCGAATGACATATCTCGAATGGTACCTGGAAAAGGCGTTTTGGGTGTTGGTCCGAAGGTGACATGGAGGAGATCGTTTCGGGAGGAGGGGGGACGAGAGACTATGGGGAGTTGAGGAGTATACTAAAGAGGAAGTCAGGTAATAGAACAAAGTAAGGATGTTCCGTTGAAGCCCTGTTTTCTATTTGGAACCCAAGTTAACAATTATAGTATACTTACGTGATAATGATAAAATATATAAAATATTTGGCAAACTGTATAGATCACTAGGATGGGGGATGTAAAGTTATTAGAATGAATTGGATAAGTAAAGAAATGAAAACATCACGTAACTAGATGTGAAGAGTTTTGAAAGAAAGATGATGGTTGTCTCAGCATAGTAAGAAAATTTACTGACTGAAAATAGTACCCGAAAACTGTCCATAAAAAAGTAATAATAATAATCATATTAATGTTACTACTGGAACTACGATCTAGTAGACTATGAGCGAATGCTAACTTAATGCGCTGGCTGATCTGTCCTAATCGTACGTCAACAACAATAACACCTCCAGGTCACAAATACAGAACAAAAGACTGGACGTTAATAAGAGAGCTTTAAGTCTGTCAAAAACAGTTGACAGCATTTGCATATATATGTTAAAAATGAATTTGAGAGGCACTAATGTCACTGATAAATTAAGACAGTGAACAATCAATAGGATTTCAAAAGTCACGAGTAGGGTGGCCTGTGGAGGCTAGACTGTCTCGATGAGTCTCACTCTCTGAATAAACAATCTGTTCTCATCTCCTTCTAGTAATTCAGTGTATGCTTAGGCCTGACATCAGAAGACGAACTAACTGGTCGTGCTAATGAGGAGGATGACATAGCTGGTCACTACTCGAGATGGTTAGAATGAAGTGAAAGCTCTAACCTCGTCGGTGAGCTTGTAGTAGTGATAGTATTAGTAGAGTGGCATGTTGTAGACTGATGGGACACGACTAAAACTGAAGTCAACATTCTGAGTCAATGCCTGCATATGTGGGAGTGTTTGTTTCCCAAATCTGGATTCAGTTCACGTTACAGTCTGGAGATGTTCTCATTAAACAACGTTGTTTAACGTTGAAGAAGTTGATAACCAGTCAGAACGCATTATCCTCCTCTTATCCAGCCGATCTTCAATGTGGCTAAAACTGCGTAAATATGATTTGTTTTTTCCTTGATAACGAAAGTCCATTACCAAGTGTCTTATCTTCTCTCGTTACTCCAATACATACTTCTTTTGTATACAATAAAACGCTTGCTTCAATTAATGAATGTATATGTTGCCAAGGCATCGCTGTGATTTCTAGAATTTTGGAATGCGGTAAGTCTAGTTATCTTTTCATTTTTCTGAAGATCCTAATAATTTTATACTCCTTCCCAAGATTCCTAACATTTAATGCATTGTTTGTGACAGGTTGATCGATATCCAGTCTTGAAACAAACCAATCAGAATTTGACCCGAGTAAAAAAACACTCAATATTTTCGACAGAGAAAGAAAGACCGGATTTGTAGTATAAAATGATATCATCATCCTATTTCACAGGTTCTCATCAGCTTCAAAATACCTGAAATTACAATGGTTATAAATAATAACATTTCATACTTCATTGTTTGAAAGGTAATAGAGAAAACATTATAAGGTGAACTCATCTGGAATATAAGTATTGCAATTTTGTAGTTTAAGTTACCATCAATTTATATACTGTCAAACTATGAAAAAAGAAAGAAAAACAGGGGGGTGAGAGAAGACAGAAAACAGAAAGAATCTAGTAAACAGTGTCAACATGGCAACTCAAGAAGGTTAAAGTTCATCAATTTGAGACTTGCTTAGTGAGTTGAGCTCACTAGTGTTATGACTGATCAGTGTAATGAAAGTGATATGGTTACCAAGGGAGTGAGAGATTGACCACACTCTCTTTCTGTATGCATGAGTTTGGTCTGTGACGTTTGATTGATTTAGGAAATCGTAGTAGATTAGCTATCCTTTGTATATTTAATATTTTGAAGGATTTGGAAATCTCGACAAAATGACCCGTATCCACAAGATGTCTGGTAATTGCACTTTGCAAATATCTTCTTCCTTTAAGGCATAAGTTTCTTGGAATATACTCTGAAAACCGGAATGAAGCCCTTCTTTATCTCCTTCCAATGTACTTGCTGCCGCAATTACACTTAAATGTATAAATGCAGTTGAATGTAACATCAGCAGGGTAGTTATCCAGTTTCGATTGCTTTATAGAGCATGTAGTACTGTATAGTGTCACCAGATTGGCTGCAGGGAAGCATCTCTTTATTGCTCCCTTCATCTCTTTTCAACCTTTTGCGATACTGTTTCTCCTTTGTATGGGAGGCAAATTAACACTTTCTTCTTTTCAACTGTTGGATGCTTCTCTTTCTCATCTCTTTCTTTGCTGTACTTTGGGATAAATCCTTTTGGATTTTTTCTGTTTTCTGTCACCCCCCTGTTTTTCTTTCTTTTTTCATAGTTTGACAGTATACAAATTGATGAAATCAGTTTCGGAACCTTCTGCGCTCAACGTAAAGAACAAGACTTGGATTTTCGACACTAATATCAAGTCAGTTACTTCAGAGACAATACTGAAAACACCTCCAACAAACTACTGAGAACGCTGAGAAAAGTTATCTTATAAGATATTTTTCTCTAAGGTGACTTATTAAAATATATCCCAACTAGTAATGAGGAGCATGAGTTATCAAGTCAAACGAGTTTCGGTACATGTATTCATGGCAGTGGCTGTAGAGAATTTCTTCTTATGACCCATTTTCCCTACTATTTCAGTCTTTCACAAAAGGAGTCTATTGAATAAGTATGAGCAGACTGACAACTAATTACTGCAAAAATGCAGATGATGAAAATAAAAAGTAGTGCTGTATTATTGGTAGGTGCTATTATCCAACGAACAGTATGCGTTCACGATTATTGGAGTGACTGCAAAAATGTGACATGACGGCGATCACGTTAAATAAAACGAAGCCAAATAAAAGTTGGATGTTGATCTTAGAGAGTGTACTGAGTGCATCGCAAAAAACCAAGTGATTCCATTCAGAATCCAGAGAAACAGAAATACTTACAAACATTTACTTATCACTTACCTTTCATGTAAATCAATATCGATTGGATAGATTTCTTCCTGATGATCATGATGATGATGATTTGAGATTTGATTGATCAAGTTTTTAATTTTCCCTTCATAAATCATAAAATATTCATTTAATATATCCTGAATATGTTTTGGACAAATGCAAACTTTATGCGTAGAATAATAATTATCCTGCTGGTGGTAGTGATAGTATGAGTCACTCATTGTGTTTTCAGCCTGGAAATTATTTTGTTGCTATGCTAAATACCGAACGAATACACTCAGTGATTTCCTTATTAGGTAGATTGGTATGATTAATAAGTCAACCAATTAAATAGCCATGACTATGATGTTGATGAATGTAACGATAAAAATAACCAATCATAGGAGAGTGAATCAACAATACCTGTCTGTCTGCCTATGTATCAAGTGATTGGTTTAGTTGAAAACTCTTGGTCATGTGATCAGCGTACTTCTGATTTGTGAATTATTTCTGATTTGTTATATATATATACGTGGCACTTCATCACTCGCTGTATGACGTATATAGTATGAGCCAATCGTTAGCGCTTCTCCAATTTTGAAAAAAATCTATGAAATAAAACTTCGCTTGCTTATTATAATAATAATAATAATAATAATAATAATAATAATTTACTTTATCCCAAGAACAGCCCATCAAAAAACATCTCTCAGTGAATTTAACGCAATTCGCTTATAAATTAAGTAGGAGCACTTTAGGGGATGATGACATTGTATCTAATCTGATCAAAACTCTGTCTAGAAGGGAGTAAGATCAAGGAGTCTCATATCATAGCTGAATCACTGAAGTTCCAAAACCCTAGGTCCATGTTAGGCGCATTGAAAAGAAATATGACTGCTTATCATCCTATTACCTACTATATCGAATCTCCCTGTTTATTTCTGTTATTTTTATGTTTTTTAATTCCTGTTAGCACTGCTATGTTTTTTTATCCGAACTTGCTGCCTATTTTGTTGTTGCTATACTTTTAATCTGTATTTGCAATTTTATTAATTGGACCCTTGACTGGAAATAAAATTCAGGAACTTTCTCAGTCATCTACTATACATAATGTACAACTACCTAGTTGATAACATCGTCGAAAAGATAATTTCCTTCGCTGAAACCATTTTCTCCATCTTTTTCCCTATGATCTAATGTGTACATTTCGACGAAATGGTATGTGGGTAGTTTGTTAACTCTCCCCGTTAAGATTACACTACGAGGCTTTAATTCTGTTACTCGGATAGTTTTGGTCAGAGTAGGTATACTTCCGCACTCACTGAGTACTGGGTCACAAAATGGTAATGGTTGTCTTCGTATTTTTTGAGGTAGGAAACATCATACTGTTTTTCTCAGTAAGGATCGCTCCACTTCATTGACCTACGGAAGCTGGTGTGCATGATGGAAATTGAACTTTCTCCATTTCCTTTTCCTTTCCCTCCTCCATTCTCCATTATGTGATTATTATTCCTTTTAGGTTCCAAGTGCAACACACAGCTTCAACAACATATTTCCACTTTCTTCTATTTTCTGCCATCCTGTCTCATCTCTTCCTCACACCATCTCCTCCACGTGACCCTAGCGCCCATGACCCGCTCGTCGCCTCCCATTTTGACCCCACACGAGCGATGGCCTGCATTGAGCGCGATGACCTTCTACGGCTTCTCTCAATATGTGCCCGATTCATTTGCATTTCCTCCTACATATTTGTCAAGCCGTTGACTCTTGGTTGGGTTGTTCCCACAGTTTCTTGTGACTAATTCTTTCTGGCCATTCAATCTTCAATGTGGAGCAAGCAAAGGCAGATGTTGATGGAAGTCTAAAACCTGTTGGAAATCGTTTCAGTGACACACTGATCAAGTTTCTGACCCGTGTAGAAGAACTGACTGACTTCACACTGTTGTTGAAAATCCGAATCTTATTTTTTCTACTGGCTGAGTGACAGCAGAAGATTTTCAAACTGGTCTCAGGTTGATGAAAGCGTGCGATTATCGCTTTTCCGATTCTAGCTGGCTGGCTTTTACTTGTTTATCCGTTTGGCGTGTCTGTGGTTAAAACGATGCTTCCTCGCTGGATAAGTGAAGGAGGTAACCTCTGTTAAATGTCTGCCGTTGACAGTGATTGGTGCTGGTTGTTGTTGCCACTGTTGGTCGGTTATCTTCGTCACCCACGTCTCCTTCTTCTCTATGTTCACCTGCACTCCTGCCTTCGCTGCCAGACAGCCTCTTCTGTTAGTAAGTCTTCGAGTTTGTGTGACGTTAGACACATATCATCTGTGAAATCCAGATATTCTAGAGTCTTCTCATCGGTGGTGCAGCGTAATCCTGTCTCCTCGCTCCTTACTCACAGTTTGATGCACAATCCAGTCCAGCACAATTAAGAATATATCATCGGTGATAATAGGCAAGCTGCCTCGTCTTACTCCTGTATGCACTTGAAACGCCTCGCTGTGTTTTCCGTTGTGGGTCACATGACATGTGGCATTGTCATATAGTCAGCTGCTGAATAGTGTTAATAAAGATTCGCAGCACTGCACGCCGTAGTGTTGAAGTAGTTTCCAAATTACCTCTCAGTCAACGCTGTCTGTCGTAGGCCTTTTCGAAGTCGATGAATTTGATGGGGTAGAAAAAGGTTTGACTGCCATTATACGCTTCGTTCTGTGATGACAGTGCATAGAGTTGCAATTTTATCAGCACATGGTTGGCCTCTTCTGAATCCAGCTTGTTCCGATAGGAGGTGGAGTTCTGCATCCAGTGCATCCTTTATTCTCTCCAGGATGATGTGATTTAGTAATTTACTTGTCGGTGAAAATAGCATGATTCTACGACAGTTCTTGCAGTGTGGGGTGTAAGTGGCCCTTCTTTGGCAGCTTGATGTGGTAGCCAGTCTTTCTTCCAATCAGAGGTACCTATTTTTTCTTTCGAAACTATTTGCAATATTGGTGTGAGCTCATCTTTCGCAGTCTCTGGATCTACTTTCTGTGGTTCGAGGGGAATTCTGTTTGGTCCTGCTGCCTCACGATGTTCAACAGCTTGTTCGCATTCAGAGTGGATTGATTTTTTGATATGCAGTACATCGAATAAATATTATGTTGTGGGTACCCATTTCTCTCCACATCCTTGTTGTTGATCATCTTCGCAATCTTGTTGATTTCCAAGCAAGCAAATCTTTCAATTTTGACCATGGATTGATATAAGAGAGACAGTAATTAAAACCCAGCACCATGGAGTACTGGCAGACAGCTACTTTGTCAGCCTAGTATTGTACTGACTCACTTGCAGTACGAACCCGGATTCGAAGCACCCAGGACCTTCCGATTACATTTCAAGCTCGATGAAGACCATTTAGCCACTGGAACCCTGCTCAGTGGTCATCTGATGAATCCTAACTTCTATCAGTCGATGAGTATTATATTTGTCCTCACTCCCGACCACTGGTCACTAAGTGTCTAATTTGTATTTGTCGCACCAGTTGCGAAGGAAAGCATGTATGAACAATAGGAGTGGGTTGACACTTCTCTCTACCTAAACACCTTGGAAATTCTACTAATAATTATGAAGTTCGCTACTGGCTGGTGAGAAGTTTTGGCCAGTAGGGTCCACCAGATTGGCAGTGAGGAAAAGTACTCGCCACTGGTGACAGTGACTAGTGCCAGTCTTGCTAAACCTTCGAATTAATTGAAGTTGGAATTTAAGCGTCAGCCATTAGACCGAGTTTCAGTAGGCGAATGATCCGCGAGCCTGTATTGTAACTAGGTGGTGCCCTGGGTTCGGACCCCGTTGGTGGATGCGTACTGCTGAAAAGTCAGTCCCAAAGAGCTATCTGGAAGTACTCCCTGTGACTGGCTTTCAATGGTTCTCTATCTGATGTGTTTGACCAAACCTAAAGTGTGAAGATCATTCTCAGATGCATCAGAGTCTTCAGCATAGAAGTCTTGAACTTCTAACAAGACATTCTGGCTCTTTTGGCTTCACATTGTCATGCGTGAGATAGGTGCTCTCTTCGATGATGTTGGCCGGTGGTTGCACTATATGCTGTGAAGTGAGAGAAGTTAGGATTCACAAATCAGTGATATCTAGCTCAGTGGCGTTTATTTCGAAGTGGGGGTGCTCATTTGTGGTTTTCTTCTAAGCTTGGCCAGAATAACAACACTACAACCAGCTGACCAATTTGAAATATCCCCCATACTTAGATAGAGACAGATAGTCAGATTTAACTGCCACAACAGTGACAACACTGTGTTATTCAAAATACAGTGGGTATATATGGCGTAAAAATCCTCGGAAATCCAAGCCAAAATAAACCAATCAAAAGCTCTCCAATCAGGTGTTACCCTCTCAGTGCATTAATCAGTAATGACTTGAAGGCTAGCGTCCTAACAAACTCTTAAACTGAAACACCCAGCCCTGATCCCTGGCACCATAATAGGTGGTCTCAGCTAAAGCCTCCCAAAATCGGAAGATCTTTACTTTCACAATTGGCTCCACAACTATCCACAAGCTTCCACTGCCTCCTCCTCCTCATATGGTCTTCTCCATTTCAGCTCCTCACATGTACACAACCAACTCACCGCTTCCGAATCATGTCTTACACAGTGGCTAGTCTGGTATACGATATCAATCAGCGGTCTCTTCAATACGTGTATCCAGCGCATCCATTCTCATTTTTTAGAGTATTTCTTTGTCGATAGGTTCATTATTCGATGAAAATGTATCAACGGACAAGTTAAATAGTATGGATAGATATGAATTCGTACCAAGATTTCATTTTCTGGAATTAAACATTTATTTCCATATTTCACAGTGAAGACCTAACTGTTCTTCTTCTTTTATGGGGTACTTGAAGCAGAAGGCAGATACTTAGTGTGTTACGCAACCACCTAGCCTTGGGTACTCAGATGGTTGAAACCAATGACATACGACCAGAAGTTTGATGTGGTTTTTGGAGTTGCATCGGATTAAGATCTTACTGCTGGCTACAAGCCGCCAACGAAAGGTAAGCTGGAATGTACAGATTTCTGGATCAATCACTTTCAACCACTCCTCTCCTTCTTCACAATGGAGAATTAGCAGACTACCTCGCTTTCTGGTACATCTATCTTCACCAAAAGTACATGTTCCCTACCACATCTCCTGAATATAGTGTAGACAATTTGCACTATCTTAATTGCAGCTGCTTTTAGTCCAACTGCTCTCCGAACAACCTTTCGGAGGCACGATAGGGACACTGCTTTCAGTTAATATAGCTCGTTGTGGGATGCTTACAATCTGCAAGACCCATAA